TTTAATAAAAATCAAACCTGAGGCCAGTTATTGGGGTGAATGCTGGAAGATCAGAGAAGCAGAACAAGCCACAGCTACCTCACCTCTCCAATTCCTCAGCTGGTCCTGTTTCCTCAGACTGGAGGCCTCTGAGTCCTCATCCAGAATGAATCTCAGCTGAACTGCTGCTCAAAAGCCTGAAAGCTTAACCAGCCAAATGCTTCTAGTTTCTGGTCCTCATGCCTTATATATCTTTCTGCTTTATGCCATCACTCCCTGGGATTAAAGGCTCACTTTCTGGGATTAAAGGCATGTGTCACCATGCCTGGCTGTTTCCAATGTGGCCTTGAACCCACAGAGATCCAGAGGGATTCCTGCCTCTGGAATGCTAGGATTAAAGGTGTGAGTGCCACCATTTTCTAGCCTCTGTATCTAGTGGCTGTTCTGTTCTTTGACCCCAGATAAGTTTATTAGGGTGCACAATATTTTGGGGAACACAATACTACCACAAGGAAGGAAGGAAGGAAGGAAGGAAAGAAGAAAGGAAGAAATAAAGGAAGGAAGAGAAGGAAAATGTTTTAGGGTAATACCCAGACAATCCTCCCCAGATCAGAACAGATAACCACATAACAGAGGGAAGGCTGTTGCTCAGCATCTTTCTGTTTTTTTGTTGTTTTTTTTTTTCAGCTCCTCTGCTTCTCTCCCAGACCTGTCAGTGTGTGTGGACAATGACCCTTCCCTCACTTGCTGTAAAGGATCTCTACTGAGTTTGGATTGCTTTTTTGGATGAGGAGATGAGTGGAGTCAGGGTGCATGATGGGAAATTCCCAAAGAATCAATAAAGAAATTACGTTTAAAAAAAAAAAGAACGAAGCGGCAAAAGACTAACATTCATACCATTCTAGAAATGTGCGTTGGAAGTGGTGTGATGCGCGTCAAGTACAGAATTCAAAACAGAAGGGCCACAAGCCATTCCGAGCTTCTTTTTACAAAGACTTATTGTTTTTATCTTTAATTATATGTATACATGTGTGTCTGTTTGTGAGGATGTGCAGGTGACCGTGAAGACTGTACTAGCCAATGTCATGGGAGTGACAGGCAGGTGTGAGCTGTCTGGCGAGGATACTGGGAACCAAAGTGATGTCCTCTGCAAAAGCAGTGCAAACCCTTAACTACTGAGCCATCTTTCTAGCTCCGCATTCCATGCTTTTTAAATGAGCAAATATTATATAATTTATAAATATTATAAAATTTATAAACTTGTAATTTTAATAAACTTATAATATTATATCATTTATAAATATTATTATTAATCTTGAGATTACAGTACCTATGGACTGTCTAGTTAAGCGAACAAACAATGATTTCACAGATAATAGCATTACTGTGAAATTCAACATTAGAATTAAAGAGGAAAAAAACCTAAAATTTCTGGAAATCTCATATCAGAAAAATGATCAAAAGCAAATAATGCATGGTAACCTTGACATTCTGTGGTTTTAATAGTGATTTTTGCCCTCTACTTTGAGATATGTGTGTAAACTTCCAGCAGAGTGTAAGCTCCATAGCAGCAGACGCTGTGTCTGATGAATATGCAGTCCCACACATAAAGACTGTGTCTGTAACGAGTCTTAGATGAAAGAATGGTCACAGTAAGACATCCAGCCGCACAAACTCAACAACTGCTGGATTCTTGGACCTTCCACTGGGAGACAGTCATTATTGAACTAGCTGGACCTCAGCTTGTAAGTCACGCTAATAAATCATGTGTGTGTGTGTGTGTGTGTGTGTGTGTGTGTGTGTGTGTGTGTGTGTGTTAGAATACATGTATTCATTTTATCAGAAGAAAGCACTGTGTGGAAGAATTCCAGCCCCATGTCTGATATGAGCAAGAATTTTTCTCTAGATATTTAAAGTTGGTAGATCAATTTTGACATATGTGTTTAGGGATGCAAACAAAAGAAAAATCTTTAGTATAACTAACCTTAAAACAAAAACAAAACTTTCATCTGTCAGAAATAACTTTATTAGGATTACTGTTTTGTTTTGTTTTAAGATAAAATGTTGCTGTGTACCCCAGGTTAGCCCTGAGCTTAGCATCTCAATACTGGGATTACAGGTGTGTGCTTCCATGCCTGACTGGCCAGTGCTAAGGATTGGTTTAATAGTTCTTAGTCAGCAGCACCAGCTTTGGCTGGAGTCAGCAGTTAAGAGCACTTGCTGTTCTTACAGCCGACCCAGGTTTGGTTCCCAGCACCCACATGGTGGCTCTCAACCGTCACTAACTCCAGTTCTATGGGACCTGATGCCCTCTTCTGACCTTTGCTGGTACGAGGCATACATATGGGGCACATACAGACATGCAATCCCATCAGAATGGCTGACGGCACGCCATTCACAGCCCTTTTCTTCTTTTCTAATTCTGGGCTGTCATTTAAAATATATTTTAACATTTTTTACTAATAAATGAAAAATGTTTTTTTTTATTCTCATTTATTTGACTACTACTGAGGTGGAAAAATTCTTTTATGACCATCCTTTGCTCCTTTTATTTTTTAGAAGTCTCAGTGAGCTTGCTCAATTGCACAGTCATTATTACACAAAGGTAAAATATATAGTCCTTTTCTTGTTCCAAATATGTTCTGCACATGCTTCAGAGTCTATCTGTGGTTTGGCCACATGTTTTATATGAAATTATAAATACTAAATTGTGTTCAGTGAGGTCTTACCTTCGTTATTTCTTCCATTACTCTCAAATGTTTAATACCTTCATTTTATTTTGACCTACCTTTTATTGTTTATTTTTGTTTATATTTTTCATTAATTAATTGTCTGGCTTTCAAATTGAAAAAGCCAGGGGTTCTGAAGTTCAAGCTCAGGTCCTCGTGTATGCAGTATAAGGACTCTACCTACTGACCTCTCTTCAGCACTCCACAGAAATAATTCTGTTTGAATTTTGCTTGGATGTCACTAACTTGCAAAAAAAAGAATTGCCGAGCTCATTAAGATGACGTCTTTAGATTTTCCATTTTCCAATATTGTGAATCAAATTTTCCAATACCTTTCCGTGAATCAAAATGTTGATGGAATGATTTAGTGCTTAGTCAGAGTGTACAGAAGCCGTACATGTCTCCTGGGAAAGTCACTTCCGGGAACTCAGCCCGCTACTACAATGGGATCTCTTCCGCACCGTGTTTCCCAGGTGCTTGTAAGTGGTGTGGTGAGATGTTATGACGTCACAAAGTGTGCCATTTAGTGTTTGTCTTGTTTCCTATTGTTTTGGAGTGTAGGCCCCACTTGTCAAGGAGCCTTAGGTGAAACACTGTGGGGGGGGGGCTGTGGGGGGGACCCTCTGCATCATTAGCAGTCTGTGCTCTTTGTCTGAACTTGGGACAGGCCTCAGCAGTGACAGAGATGACCTATGTCATCGGGGTTACCTGGCCTTGAACTACTCTTTTCTCTCCCACCCCAGGACAGCTGTCATTCCAGCTGTTGCCATGAGCTGCCACTCAGGAATTTTCCAGACTGGGTCAGTGCTCCTGGCTTGTCTCTTTGGTGTTCCACGTCTTGCTTTTGCCTGTAGACTTGGCCAACACTTTCAGAGTGCTCTTTGTGGCTCATGGAACTTCGTCCCTATATTAGTGTATTAGTTGGGGTTCTGTAAAGGAACAGGACTGATAGAATGAATCCATATCACACACACACACACACACACACACACACACACACACACACACACACACACACTGGATTTATTAGCGTGACTTAACATGCTGAAGTCCTGCTAGTTCAACAACGGCTGTCTCCCAGTGGAAAGCCCAAGAACCCTGCAGTTGTTCAGTCCCTGAGGCTGGATGTCTCAGCTGGTCTTCAGTATGGGTCAGAATCCTGAAGAAGAATGCTCTAATATCAGTGAGGTGAGGGCAAGAGCAGCAGGCAAAGGGCAAAAGCTTTTCTCTTCCTTGTCCTTTGTATGAACTGCCATGAGAAGGTGTGGCCCAGATCTGGGGGGTGGGGAGTGGAGGGGGTGGGAGGTGGTCTTCCAACCTCAATCTGGATTTAAGGTGGATCTTCTGACCTCAAGCAATGTGGATTTAAGGAGGGCCAAAGATCCAATTAACTAAAAATCTTTCCCACACGTGCCCAGTGACTTGGGTTTTCAGTTCATTTCAGATACAGTCAAGTTGACAACCAAGAATAGCCACCACAGTCCCTCATTTACATCCTCACCAACATCACTTCTCTTGTTCTGTTGTCGCGGGTGCCACTACTGGGAGACTCTGTACCTATCTGAACCACTTGCCTGGGAGTCCTACCAGTCAGCACAAACCCTGGTTCTCTTCAGGACAGAATCCAGAAGTAATAGGAGATCTTAATTATGTTCTAAACCCCAAGATAAATGTGTAACTAGGCAGCCTACTCCATACCTATCTTTCCTTTCACTTATTTAATTGTTTATTATTTGACAATTTCATACATGTACATAATACATTATTGTAGCTGAAGTTTTCCTGGTCTTGCCCAGCTCCCACTGCCCCATGGTCCCATAGCCGCTCAGACCCAAATGAACACACACAGGCTTATATTATTTTTATTTATTATTATTATTATTATTATTATTATTATTATTATTATTATTATTATTATTTGATTTTTCGAGACAGGGTTTCTCTGTGTAGCCTTGCGCCTTTCCTAGAACTCACTCGGTAGCCTAGGCTGGCCTTGAACTCACAGAGATTCACCTGCTATGGCCATGGCAGGCTTCTTGCTAGCTAACTCTAATATCTTAAATTAACCTATTTCTATAAATCTGTACTTTGCCACATGGCTCGTGGCTTACCAGTACTTTACATCTTGCTTCTCTTGGTGGCGGCTGGCAGCGTCCCCTCCCTCCACCACCCAATGCCTTCTTCCTGCCTCTCTCTTTCAATTTCCCACCTGCCTCTAAGCTGCCTTGCCATAGGCCAAAAGGCTTTATTTATCAACCAATCAGAGCAACACATATTCGTAGGGTACAGAAAGACACTCCCCCATCACATTATTACCCTCCTCTCAACCCCTCGCATGCCTGCTGGACTAGCCACCTCTTCCCAAGTGCCCCTCCTACCATGGTGTCTTTGTAGGTGTGTGACCCACCCAGTTTAACTAGACTCGGTAGCATGAACATCTGTAGGGGATAGTATGGGGAATGTAATAGTGGCTGTACCACCCAAGAAGATGATGACTCCTTCCCCGGCAACCACCAACTAACTGCCTGTGGCTCTCATGATCCTCCCCTCCACCCCTGATGGAGTGGTAATGGGCCAATCTCATCAAGTCCTGTGTGATTAACCACAGCTGCTGAGTTCAGGGGTACAACGGCTATGGCATGTCTAGAAGACAGTGTTTCACAGCATTCTTCCTCATCCTCTGCCTCATAGATTCTTCTGCCCTCTCTTCCATGATTTTTCCTTCGCTGTTTAGGACTGACCACTCAGAATTCACCTATTCTCAGTACCTTGAACAGTTATGAACAGTCTCCACATTGAGTCTCATCTCTTTTTGACGGTTTTCAATATTACATTTTTATCATGTTGTTTTATGTATGATTTAGTGTCGTGAAGCACCTCAAATATTTTCTTAAAGTAGGCACAATACACACCATTAGCAAGTACTATTACTAGTAAACAAATTATGCTGTGTCCACCACACATCCTTTATCAGGTTGCTTTAAGCCCAAAATGTGTTGAATTTCAAATTTTTCCAATTTGGAATATTTTCATGTATGTAATGATATGTCTTGGAGATGGATCCAATTCCAAACACAAAATTCATTTATGTTTTATATACGTAGCATAAGCTAATGTATGTGCATGTGCACATGGGCCATGGTGTGTGTGGAGATCAGAGGACAACCTTGGGGAGTCTGTCCTCTCTCACTGTTGCTCTGGAGACTGAACCTGACTTGTACAGGAAGTGCCTTTGCCCACTGAGCCATCCCACAAGCCCCTGAAGGTAATTTTATACATTACTTAAATTTTTTTTTGAGCCAGGTGGTGGTGGCAAACTCCTTTAATCTCAGCACTTGGGAGACAGAGGCAGGTGGATATCTGTGAGTTCAAGGCTAGTCTGGTCTACAGAGCTAGTTCCAGGACAGCCAAGGCTTTTACACAGAGAAACCCTGTCTTGGAAAACCAAAAAAGAAATATATATATGTATATGCACACACACATATATTTATTGTATGTACATACATATGTATATATACACATACGTATATATAGTATATGTATATATATTGTGTGTATATATATATAGTATATGTATAAATATATCGTGTGTGTGAAAAAGTTGGTGTCCTTGGTGTCCAATTTCTCTTTTACTGTGTCATATTGGCATCTAACAGATTTGGGGTTTTGAGCATTTTTCAATCCTCACTTGTTTGATAAGGGATGCTCAGAAAAAAGATGAAGCATTGAAGCAAGAACATCTAAAATTGTTACTAAATGACTAATTTCCCTTAAAAAGTAACTAGAATATATTCTAGGTTTTATGTGTTTCTGTAAACCTGTGTGTTATATACATATACCCGTGTGTGTGTGTGTGTGTGTGTGTGTGTGTGTCCGTCCGTGTGTCTGTATGTACGGGTGAGTCTTTAAACATATCTGTGTGCATGGATGCTAATAAAATATTTTACAACGGTAATATAGATTAATATGCAAATATAAACATTTTCTAACAAATCTGATGTACATTGGGATTCAAGTAAACTTCCCAGTACTTCTAACGAATTCTAAGTTATTGGCTGAGTTTTAGAAATTGTTGATGTGAACTTTCATCTGGATAAATAAAGCCCCCTTGTAGATCATCATTTCATCCAACGCTCTTAGCTAGTTCTTCATTGAACGTTTAGTGGTCGTGAGTGGGCTGTAGCCAGGATTTGCTGTAGGTGGGGTGACAAAGTCTGCCATTTGCTGTCACAGCTTTGGATGACAGAACTTCCCCATGGCCGAACCCACTGCCTTCTCTTTGATGGGGCCACAGCTTGCAGCCTTGCTGGGAAGCAGAAGCCAGTCTGGAGATTTCTGAGGGTCTGTACTGATGAGACCAGAGTAATCCCAGCCTTCCCTAGAGCACTGCCACCAGGTGGCGCTAGTCATAGCATGCCAGACTGAAGCTCTCCACAGGTACTTAGTCTAGCTTAGATGCGACAGGGCATATACGTGACTGAATTATTGAACTTGCTGTGTTAATGTGGGGAAAATCAAATTTTAGGTCAGTATGAGGAGATATTTTAATTCTTTCCTTTTCCATCATTTCCTTTTAAATCTGGGAAATGATATACATGAACAGTACAGGACAGGGTAGCCTCTGTGCACCCTTCCCCTAAACTCACCAATTCACTTACACCAATTCTTTTAAATTATTTTTTAACATTGTGTGTGTGCATGCATGCATGCGTGTGTGTGTGTGTGTGTGTGTGTGTGTGTGTGTGTGTGTGTGTGTGTGTGCGCGCGCGCACAGGCACACACATACATGAATTGAGGCTAGAAGAAATCTTGGGATTTGGTTCTGTCATTCCACCATGTGGATTCTGGAGATTGAATTTAGGTCTTCAGCCATCTTGACCTTGACACCAGTTCTTAATACTTTGCTACGTTCTTTCTCCACCCCACTTACTCTCCACATATGTGGGGGCATTCCTACCCCCAAACATTGGAGAATTAATTCTTACATGTCACCGTAGTATTCCAGCATGTGCCTCCAAAGAACAAGGACATTGCCATGGTCACACTCAGAAGTGTAGCCTCGGAATGCCTTCTTTATGTAATAGACAAGTGTTGGTACTAAAGTGCCTACATTGTCCTGGTAAAGCCATTTTCATTTTAATTTTCACAGTGGGGTTGTTCTTCAGTCTATTAGGGTGTGTCTTTTATGAAATTCAAATGTCTAGACAGACCAGCTAAGACACTTTCAATTTTCACATTCATTTTTCATGATTAAATGTAGGCAAAATATTTTTGGCAAGGACATCATCAAGGAGAGTTTCATTCTCCTTACAACAGCCCTCAAAAGATTCCAACAACTGTATCTGCACAACACACTTCTTAGTTCTGAAAAGAAAACGGCTAGCCACTGGATCCTAAATCAACTTTGAAGCAGGCTCTCATCTTTCTGACTCCATTTCCACAAGTATACCCCTGATAACAGGGAGGCCTCGAAACATGGAAACAGAAAACACTGGTAACTCATGCTCATAAAGGGATTGCCTCTAACTGTGGACCTCCTGGTCCTCGTACATCCTGTTTCTAGTGAACGCCCATGTCTTTTCCCAGAACTCGACTTCCCCACTGTGGTGACAGGTCCAAAGATGGGCAATGCGACCTAAGCTGAGCCCGAATCTTCCCTGGGAGGTTACACGTGGATTCTAAAAGAGAAAGGCCCCCTTTCTCTGGGATTAGGACACTAATAATAATGCTGGTGACAGCTCTCTGCAGTCATTGTCCCAACGCTGGCTCTGTAAGGGAGGAGAACGAGATTGACACACACAATAAAGCCGAGGTGAGCAGAGTCAAGAACACTGAAGAAAAGGTGGAGTTTGTCATCCCCGTGGCTTCTTCAGTCCATGGATAGAGAGCTATGCCTGACATTAGTTACAATTCCCTTCTCTGTAGATCTTTAAATGCTATGAGCTACTTTGAGTTTGGTTCCTGCGTCTTGCAACTGAGTCTCGACTAATGTACTTTGTACTTAGGATTCAAGGACTTCTCAGAAGCAGATATATTTGTGTGTGTGTGTGTGTGTGTGTGTGTGTGTGTGTGTGTGTGTGTGTGTGTGTATAAAGCTGCAATGGCAGCCTAAACAATCTGGCAAAATGCCCAAGTTCCTTTAGCTGCAAGGACAAAAATACCCACTTCAGAGGGTACCAGTTGCACAGATTAAGGAGGGAGCCAGTCCACAGTTTCTGAAGCATGTTAGAGAGTCAGTGGATGCTAGAACAGGGACAACAGACTAGCACGTCTGCCAGCCTTCATTTCCTCTGTGCGCGTGAATTTTCCCTCACTCCGTCGGACTAAGTTGGGCTTTGCTGAGGACAGTGCTTGTCAGCTAATATTCATTGCTCACGGCCCCCATTTTGGTTATTGGCATTCCATTTGTCTTATAAGCAACGTGAACAGAGCACTAATGTATCTGGAGGGTGATGGCATTTGTATACTTGTTTTTTTTTTTTTTTTCTTCCAGGTGAGAGAAGCCATGGCTGAGACTCAACAGCACTGAGCGGCATTGGCATTTTTGGCAGCAGGTTTTCTGACCTGACTGAGAAGGAAACAGGATGTAAGAAATGTTGGGGCCAGTAGGTTGATTTTCCTTCTACTGATTTTCTACTAGTTTGGGCCTAATTTATCTCTGTCCGCAATGGTTCTGAGAGGGAGTTTATTCCGTCAGAGACATCCTCATGTTCTCTGCTGCCAAAGGGGTTTGTGGCAAACAGATTTAACAAACGTACATGCAGGCAAAACACTCATACATGTAAAAAAAATATATCTAAAAGAAGAGAGAGAAAATTCCCAGAGAAGTAATCAGAGAGCTGGTGGCCGTGTGTGCACAGCTCAGGCACGTTGTGGGAATTCTGTAACTACAAAGACACACAACTGAGGTGGATTTCCTGGTTCTTGACGTCATTACTTTATCAGCCACCAAGAAGACACCACCAGGATAGCACCAAGAAGATGCTATGACTTAACTTGGAGCTAGATCACTAGAAGTGACCCAGACTTGCCGGCAGGGACAGGCTAGCCCATGGTACAGGTATCTGGCTGGCCTGGACTTTCTGTGTCTTCCATGCTCTGTTTGGAATGGGGAACAAGGGTGCAGTTGGCAAACCCCCCTTGAAGTCCCCTCCAGTGAGAAGAATCTGTTCACTCACATACTCCATCACTCAAACTAGTGTCCTGATGACCCACGCTGTGTACTCCAGTGGGATGCTGGAAACATCAAGTTGACTTTTCATGGTCTCTGGGATGATAACTGGAGAGTAATCACTTTCCCTACTTGGACTCACTAACAGGACAGGGGTTAGTGGGTAGGTCTGGTGGGAGCCTGTCTACTTGAAGGGATATTAAATACTTTAAGACTTTGTCTAAAACACAGTGACTACAGCACAGATTTCAGCCCAAGAGCCAAGCTGCTAGTCCCCAGGCAGGAGTGGCTTGAACACGGGCACAGTCCATCTTGGAGCGCTGTCAACAATGCAGGTGAAAACCAAGAACCTCTCCCACATCTCACATCTGTGAGCACTGGGAGCACAAGGCATGGTTGCTTTGGACTAGCCTTTGGGAAGGGCCACAAAGGCACATCCAAGCGCCTTGTCTTTTTAGCAGAGCAGTTTGGACATCTCAGTGGGACGTCAGGGATCAGTGGAGAAGGATGCATGATGGAGAACAATGGTAGCCATGAGACATAGCAGGATGGTAGCTCCAGTGGGCCCTAGTGACTCCAGGGTCAAAGATGGGTAACAACTGCCTGACAGATCCCCTGGCAGGCACCAGGGGATGTGCCAGCACCAAGCTTTCAGTTGAATTGAAACTTCTGCAAAGACTACCAGGACACTGGTTGGTAGGGAGTTGCACAGAAAACATTGAGATGGATCTCAGGGTACAGTAAGGGGGCAATGGGAGAGACCTGGGGACTTCTTTTTTGCTGTAAATGTAAGCCCACCGCAAACCCTGACAGGAGAAATGGATATCACCTATAATTAAAACCTGCCTGTTCAGATAACAGTTTGTGGCACAGAATTGATGAGGGGACATTTTGTTTGTTTGGCATAAAACCAGTTTGTGGGAAGCTGAATTTGGCCCTGGCACTTGGAGATGAGCATAGAAGAATCATAGTGGCCTCTGGAGGTCATCACATAGCCTTTCTTTAATTTTCCTCAAGGACTAAGAATTTGGAGTTCAGTTGAAAAATGTCTTGGGATTTGTATGCAAAAAGGTTTGAACTGAAACATTAATAAGAGAGACAACCATATCTATGTTTACAAAAAATTCTGAGCATGTGTCTCTCTCCAGGTGTCGATTGCCCAGCACTTAGATAACTGACAACGAACTGTGTAATATTTAGATAACTCTGATATAAGCTCTTTGGAAATACCATTTACAGAAGTATTGATTGAGCATGTAAAATCCATTACACCCTAGTGAGGCTAATCCATACACAGTAGTGTAAATTATAATAGGATTACTGACGTTATAATGTCTTTTTAAAAAATTTGTTCCACAGAAGACTCAGTGCGACACAGAACAAAGGATGCTGAACTTGAGGTCATGCCCTTCACTGTCTGACTTGACCTTGAGGTGAGCATATCGACGGGCTTTGGCTCACCTACAGGTGCAATGTGGATACTAACATCTTGCTGACTTCCTGTCATTGTGTGCAAGAAATGAGCATCTCTAGGTTTCATCACGAGTTATTAATGTAATAGTTGTGTGATCTGACCTCAACAAATACTGGATAAGCAAAAACAGCTCAAATAAACACGCACTGCCAATTAAGCTGAGCACCGACATGATGACTGCAGTTGGCATTTACGTCAGCACTGTTTGTTTTCAGTGTTCTGTTGGCTACAACCTTGGGGGATGCTGGCGATGAGGTTCAGCAGGTCTGAGCTGAATTGAAGCAATGGTCATTTCAAGCTGTTTGAACCTTGCCCTATCTACTGAGGTGAGAGGCTTTACTACCCTAAAGAAATAGAAGCCTGGATGCTTGGATTAAGTTTAGAGGAATAAGGGCTGTGATTCAGCTATATTAAACATTCTAGAAAAATCAAAGCAAGAAGGGAAGAAAGAAAGGTACACTCTTGGTCCTCTGTTTAATTCAAATTTCTACCCTTGATTATCCTTGAATTAGGCATGGTGACTTGACTTTGTAGTTCTTGTCCCACACAACTGGACCAATCCTGGGTAGACTACACAAAGACTTGTGAAGGCTCAGAGTCACTGTATCAGGCTAGGAAGAATTCAGTTGGAGGTAAATTTGTGAGTGTGTGTGTGTGTGTGTGTGTGTGTGTGTATGCTGGTGCACAAGAGAGCTAGAGAACAACTGTGGGTGTCATTCCCTAGGCATTACCCATCTTTTTCAGATGGTTTCTCATTGGCCCGGAGCTCATTGATTAGGCTGGGCTGCTGGCCAATGAGTCCCAGGGATCTGCCTACATCTGCTTCCAGGGTGCTAGGATTACAGGTGCACACAATAGCCTCAAATAATATAAAATATCCTGGTGTAACTCTATCTAAGCAAGTGAAAGACTCATATGACAAGAACGTCAAGTCTTTGAAGAAAGAAATTATAGAAGATATCAGAAAATGAAAAGATGTCCCATGCTCATGGATTGGTAGGATTAACATAGTAAAAATGACCAGCCTATCAAAAAAAAATCTACAGATTCAATGCAATCCCCATCAAAATTTCAACACAATTATTCACAGACCTTGAAAGGACAATGTCAACTTTGTATGGAAAAAAAATCCAGGATAGCTAAAACAATCCCGAAAAATAAAAGAACTGCTGGAAGTATCACCATTCTTAATATAAAGCTGTACTATAGGGCTACTGTAATAAAAACTGCATGGTATTGGCATAAAAATGGACAGGTTGATCAACAGAATTGAATTGAAGACCCAGACATAAATGCATACACCTATGGACACCTGATTTCTGATAAAGAATCCAGAAATACACAACAACAACAAAAAAAGATATCATCTTCAACAAATGCTGCTGTTCTAACTGGATACTGGCATGTAACAGAATGCAAATAGATACATATTTATAACCCTGCACAAAAGTCAAGTCCCAATGGATCAAAGACTTCAACATAAAACCAAACACACTGAACCTGATAGAAGAGAAAGTGGGGAACAGCCCTGAACACATTGGCACAGGAGACAATTTCCTGAACAGAACACCAATAGCACAGGTACTAAGATCAATAATTAACAAGTGGGACCTCACGAAACTGAAAAGCTTCTAGAAGGCCTAGGTCACCATCATTAGGACAAAATGGCAGACTACAGAATGGAAAAAGATTTTTACCAACTCCACATCTGATAGAGAACTAGTATGCAAAATATATAAAGAATTCAAGAAGCTAGATATAAAACCCCCCACATATAATCCAATTAAAAGTGAGGTACAGATGTAAGCAGAGAATTCTCTATTGAGAAAACTCAAATGGCTGAGAAACACTTAAATAAATGTTCAACATCCTTAGCCATCTGGGAAATGGAAATCAAACTGCTTTGAGATTCTACCTCAACTTGTACAGCTACCATGGAAATCAATATGGCAGTTCCTCAGAAAGTTGGGAATCAATCTACCTCAAGATCCAGCTATTCCACTCTTAGGCATGTGCTCAAAGGATGCTTAATTCTACCAAAAGAACATTGACTCAACCATGTTCACCATTGCTCTATTCATAATATCCAGAAATTGGAATCAACCTAGAGGTCCCTCAACAGAAAAATGGATTTAAAAAATATGGTATATTTAAACAATGGAGTATTATGCAGCTGTTAAAAAGATGACATCATAAAATTTGCGGGGGAAAATGGATGGAACTAGAAAAAAAAGTGTCCTGAGCGAGACCTAGAAAGATAAATATGGTATACATTCACTTATATGTGGATATTAAATAAATGATAACCAACCTATAATCCATAGACCCAGAGAAGTTAGGTATGGAGGCAGGGGCTGAGGGATACAGCCTGGGAAGGGGAAATAGAATAGATTTTATGGATAGACTGGGAGTGGTGTCAGATAAAAATGGGAGGATCATATGGGGAGTGGGAAGGAAGATAGGGTTGAGGGGGAGAATCAGGGAAAGACACCTATACTTGAGGGCCATTTGAGGCATGGTATGGAAACAGTGCAGTGGAAACTCTCTAAAATATATGAAGGCAATCCTAATGAAGCCTCCTAATAATAAGGGTAGTGGTGGTTTGAATAGGAATGACCCCCGTAGGGTCATGCGTTTGGATGCTTGGCCCATAGGGAGTGGCACTATTAGGAGGTGTGACCTTTTTGGAGTGCATGTGGCCTTGTTGTAGGAAGTGTGTCACTGTAGAGGTGGTTGAGGTCTCTTATGCTCAAGTTACACCCAGTGTAGCACACTGTTGCTTCTGCTGCCTGTGGGTCAAGATGTAGAGCTCTCTGCTCCTGCTCCAGTACCACGTCTGCCTGCACACCACCATGTCCCTCGATGATGATAATGGACTAAACTTCTGAAACTGTACATCAGCCCCAATGTAACGTTTTCCTTTATGAGAGTTGTTGTGGGCTGCCTGCCCAGGGAAGAAAGCAGCCACACCACCTCCCTGGGTGGGTGGGCACTCCAAGAGGTGCAAAGGCAACACTGTGACCCCATGCCCACTGGGCACGGGGGGAAGTGAGTAAGTAGATGGAGGAGTGATGGGCGAGGAGGAATCGAGTGAACAGGTGGTGAAGGAATGGAAGACAAGCAGTTTGTGGGCTGTGAAATGGGACAGAACTGGAGACACGAAGGAGGTTTTCTTGCTCTTTGGGAAAAGGTGAATTACACCACCCATCCATCGGGCCAGTGACAAACACAAGTGTCAGTTTAGTGGGCCTCTGCTGTCTTCCTTTAAGCAAACTGACCACTGTGTGAGCAGCTGTGACTTCCAGAGCTGCATTCTAACCCAGGAAGAAGAGCAATACCTGCAGAATAGAGACCCACAACTGACTAGACGTGTCCTGCTGTGCCTCCTTCTCATCACTGGCCTAGCTGGCTGCTAATCTCTATGGTTGTGATAGTAGCAGCTCAACCATGGAGACTGAACGACTCTACGTTGAACTATAGTTTTCTGTGCTGTGTCTAACTTTGCTAGAGATGTATTTCCTTTGGAAGCATTGGGTTGGACAAACATTTTGAAGATACCCAGAGACCCTACCTGTTGCCTCACAGAGTAACCAGGAAGAAGATACCTAGAGGCCCCTAGCCCAAAGTATAGCCAGCCCACAGCATGAGCTATGATGTGTAAGTGTGATGTGGAGAGATGGGAGAGAAAGAGAAGCAGAATTGTTGGAGTTCTACAAAGAGAGGTGGATCTGAAGACTCAAAGGTGGAGAGGGACAGCCTGATGTGAGTAGCCTGAGAAGCCACCTGAAATCATGGTGAAGTTTTGGCCCATGCTGCCACTGAAGGCCATGTCTGGGTCCCTGGTCAAGCAGCAGCAGGGGACTGTGCCAATGTCCCTAGCCCATGACACCACCAAAGGCCATGTGGCCGCCCCTGGTCTGGACTGCTCCCTGGGACCATGTTGATATCCAAGGACTGCACAGAGTTGGTCCTGCCCATCACTGGCTGTGGCCCTCAAGAGAGTGGACCTGGCACTACTTGGGCAGCACAGTAGAGCTGACCCGGTCGTCAGGGGTGTGGGAGTTTGGGCTAGGAAAGCAGTGGAAGGCTTCAAGCACTGCTTAATGGGCCATCCTAGTAGAAGCATGGAAGACAGTGGTGCTGAGGGTGATTCGAACCGTGGGAGCCTGGCTCAAGACGTTTCAGGGGAGAAGAATTTTAGTATGTTGCCTAGTGATTGTTCTTGTGATAATTTGTTGAAGAACATGGCTGCTTTTTTGCCCTTGTCTGAAAAGTCTGCCTGAAGCTGAAGTGAAGAGATTTAGATTAATTGCATTGGCAAAGGGCATCTCAAAACAGCTTAGAAGAGACTCTGTTGTGTGGTTACTAGTGTTGACTGTTATGAAG